CTCCAGATGTTTGAAGACTTTGACTTCCATCAGCCTCAGCCAATGCAGCCAGGTTGTGGGAGGCTGGCTTGGAAGAGGGCCCCTTTCCCAACCAAAAGGGGCATTTTTTTAAAAAAGGGAGTGGATGTGTGAGTATGTGTAAAAATAGTAATAATAGCACCACATACTTTCCTATTTCCAAAGTTTTCACGTAAAACATGATATCCAGCTGTAATCTTGAGTCTTGAGTCCCTGCGGAGCTCCGTGCCGGGAAGTGCTCTGGCATTGTTTTCTAGCACTTCCCAGAATTCAAGATATTGTAGCTCTGCTGTTCATCCCAGGAATAGTTTGGTTCTCATTAGGACCCCTTCCTCTGGCAATGCCACATTGGTTTGACTGATCAGTTCCTCAGTGAGGACAGGATTCTGGACTAGATGGGCCACTGGCCTGATCCAAGAGACTCTTCTCATGTTCTCATTTTCTCAGGGTTCTTGCTGTCTTTCAAAGTGCAGCGGTGCTCAAATTACTGGGGCTGGGCGGGTGAGTGGGGAAGACAGAACGGAATTCACAAGCCTCCCAGTTTTAGTCAAGCCACCCTCCTTCCCCCTAGGTAGCCTTCTAAAATTTAACTAGGAATTAGTAGATAAGAAGAGCATTACTTGAGTTGAAGGAGCCAGGTCCCATCTGAGCAGCCTGTTCTTCAAGCGCAGAACATAGGTGAATTTGGAGAAATAGTTGTATCGGTGAAAGCAATGCAGAGCTGAAGACTAGTCTGCCCTCCTCAGCTAGGAACTTAACCACACAGAGTGGGGGAACCTTGAATTATGCCATCCTCATGTAGCCTTCTTAACCTGTAACATAAGGGGGCCTATCACAAACGATCAGAGAGCTGCCCCCGCCATGACTCTGTAATTTGAGCACTGAAAGTCTGCCTGCACTGAAAAAAGCTGTGTTGCTGATGTCGACCCCTTTTCCAAATGCCATTCAGCTAGACTGAATAACTCCTGGGAGGTTCTGTACATCAGGGTGCCATATGTGCTGTCATTGGATATTTATTTAGTGCCGCCAATGCGCATGCTATAGAGGGAAGTGAGGGGCAGATGAGGCTCATCAACCTAGGGAGGTAGTCCATCAAGGAGAAGGAAAACTCTGATCCTAAACCTCCACTGCCTTGCAAGATATCTTTGGGAGAAGAAAAGGCAAAGGGGAAAACCCTACACATATCTAGAGACCCTAAGACAGCTGGATGTTGCCTTGAACGCCTCCTTCTGGCAACTTCTGCAGCCAAACTGGTACCAAACATATCGCTCTGCTTTCCTTTGGACCACATCAGCTAGGCCAAGAGGGGGGTCTTGTCATCTGGGCAGCCCAGAACCTCCATACACACTTGCTTAGGCTTGCACCCTGGAGAGGTCACTTCGGTGCTGCTAACATAGCAGTTTGACTTCATCGCCGGAGGCACACTCCATTGTCTCTCAAGACAGATGGATAACAACAAAAAGACAGAAAAGATGGCCTCTCCAAAGATGGACCATCTACACGGGGCAGTAGAGGAGAAATTCACAAAAAGTGGGCCGTGAGAGAGAAACTGATTAAGTAACAAAAAGCTCCTGTGAACTCCCCCCCCCAAAAAAAATCTTCCTGCAAAAGAGGCTGTCTGTTGCTTCTCTGCCCAATCCACTGCTCTGGCCTTGCCTCTTTCCTGTGGGCAGCTGTTTCTGCAGCATTTGTTTGTTGGGTGAATCCATCAGTCAGAACTCCAAGGAGGCAGCAGAGGTCATTCAGAGGAGGCAACCTGGTGCTTCTCTGCATGAGTAACTGCTCCAGTCAGAAAGAATGCCCAAATCAGTAACTCGTGCACCCATGCAGGGAGTAGAGTGGCTAATTTTACACTAAAGGGTCAACCACACACCAATAAATGCATACCATATTTTTTGCTCTATAAGATGCACTCGATCATAAGACGCACCTAGTTTTTAGAGGAGGAAAACAAGAAACAAGAAAGCAACGCAAACCCTCCTGAGCAAAGAGGGAGGAGCGCTCCCGCTGCGCTCAAGAGGCTTTGCATGGCTATCCCTGAAGCCTCTTCAGGGCAGCGGGATGAAGGCTAAGCCAGAAGCTAGAACAGCGAGAGGGAGCGCTGCGCAGCGATCCCTCTTGCTGTTCTGGCTTCTGGGATAGCTGCTCAGCCTGCATTCACTCCATAAGATGCACACATATTTCCCCTTACTTTTTAGGAGGGAAAAAGTGTGTCTTATAGAGCGAAAAATACAGTACTGTACATAATTAAGTCCCAACGATTTCTTACGTATGTGAAAAAAAATCACAGGAAATTGTGATACCGAGTGGAGAAGTGGGGGAAGGGAGTGCTTAACCCAGGGTAGCCAATGTGGTACTGTTCAGATTTACAACTCCTATCAATCCCACTCAGCATGATCATGGGTAAGGAATGATGGAAGATAGTCCATAACATCTGAAGGGGATTGTATTGGCTGCACTAGGCTTAGCCTTTCCCTGACAGCCTTCTTGCTCAGAAACACACACACAGAGAGAGCACTTTATGAAGCATTAATCTGAACCCCTGTAATGGAAAAAATGCAGTTTGGAGGGTGATTTTTAACAGGAAAATGGCTGATGTTCAGTAAATGCTTTTGAGCTAGCCTTCGATTTTAATTCGGGGGGGGGGGGGGAGGTGCCTTCATAATGAGAGGAAAACTGCCATGGTTGCTTTCCCTCTACATTTCAAACCCTATCTTGTAAACAACAAAGTCTGAAAATTCAGTCTAACTGCTTGACAATTATCTGAGCACACCCTCCCTAACATGCCATGGGCTTTCAGTGTCACCAAGTGCTTTGTGGGAAGGTGGCCTACCCACACATGTGTCACAGGTACTGTTTTGTGCCTCCAAGCACAAGGCAACGGGTTTTAACATCTTGCTTACTTTCCTGCAAAATCGCTGTTTGCAGAGTTCTTTTTAAACCTCCAAACAAAACCGCTCTCTCATAGCTCCACCTTAAACCTTCCGCTTTTGTCACAACGTCTTTCAATGCTTTCTCCGATTAGCAGACTAGACAAAGCCCTTTGCTAGTAAATATAAACAGACTTTTTATGGGAAGTGGTTTTCTTTCAGCTGCGCTAGAACTCCCATGAAGCTTTGTGCTCAAACATCAGTCCACACTGAAAAGGGGAAAGGCACATCTTTCACTGGCAAAAGTTCTGGTGGGCTTCCTACTGTTGTTAATCACTAGAGACTGAAAACATCTAGAGGATTCCTCTTTGGACACCTAATCTGATCAAATTTGATTCACAGTAATATCAGGAAGACTGACTAGCAAGGTACATCTCTAAAGAGATCAAATAAAGGACACTTTTTTCACTGCTTAGCAAGCTGTTATTTATTTATTTCACTCTATCTCTCTCACACACATATATTACTATATCATAAAAAATATCAAACCAGTTTACAACTATATCTGCATGCAATAAAACCACATAAAAAAATAAAATAAGAAACCATAACCAACTGTTATGGGAAGATGTTTTCATCATTGCCAGCATAAGCCTGGCAGAAGAGAAAACTTTTCAGCAGACATTTAAAGGTTGAAACAGAAGGCACCTGCTGAAAATCTATTGGCAGAGTGTTCCACAGGACAGACCCTTCTGCAAATCTGAGTGCTCCCAACTGGATCCTGGGATGCTATGGTCAAGAGGGTGGGTGGTCTTTTTCAGTCTCCGTTTATTTTAAATTAGAACTCTTGCTGTACCTCTTTCTCTTAAAAAAGGGGGGGTGGATAGGAGGCTATAGGCTTGTTTAACATACAGTCATAACTCATTACACCCATTACTTTCGTCAGCACTGACCCTCTTGTGAGAAATCAAAAGATATGCAACCAGCCTCAATATAACAAGCTGACATTTATCTCATTTCCCTCCCTCAGTGCTTGCTGTTTTGTCTTGTGCTGTTCTTCACTACATCAAGCAGCTTCAACCCCTAGCTCAACTCCCAAGCTTCAGGTATTCTGGAACTTGCTATGCTATATCTGGATATCTGGATATCAAGATTTGGGCATCAACTGGAGATTCTGCACTCCACTCTCTACAGCAGTTTGTTGGCGGGGGGGGGGGGGAGAGGGTTGAAGAGATGTGCAATATTTATTACAGATAATTTTGAGGAATTCATAAATAACACTTGTTGGCACAATTATTTTCTTGGGAACTATTTAGTTTTTACCAAACTTGCCTTTTCTATCAATTTAAACTGTTTTGTTGCACTGCAATTTTCAAGTTTTTTCTATTATATAACAGTTAGGCCCAATGGGACAAGTGACATAGGGTTCATTTGTTAAAGCAAGCGTCTGGTAGGCACTTCTGACACATGCTTTTAATAAGGAGAATGAGAGTGTTTAAATTTCAGTTTCATTTCAAAAACTGACACTATTTGCTGCAAGCTGAAAAATCTGATCCAGCTATACGGCACTTTCTTTAGCCAGGAGACTACCAGTCCTTTCTCCTGTCCCAAGAAATCTACTACCTTTACATGCCATCAGTGGTCCTACTGAAAAAATAAAAGCGAAATTTAACCCAGGGTGACAGCATGGCCTTTGACACCTGAGATATGTTTTCAGGGCCCACCCTGAAAGTAATCTGTTTTAATTGTTTTTCATTATGTATTTTAAATTGTTATAACCATGCTGGGACCTGCTGGTGAAGGACTAACAACAACAACAATAATATCTCACATTGACTTACATCCCTGTTGCTGCAGGTGTGGTAAACCACAGCTTGTCCATACAGGGTGGAGGGAGGGAGATGGATAAAGAGGTCTGTTGGGGTCAAGCAAATGAGCGTGGGGCAGGCAAGGCTAGATCCTGAGTCCTGTAAGAAGAATCTGGCACTTAGCTAAGTAAGCCCCCATCTGCACATTTAAGACTGTATCAAACCCCTTAAATCAATCATAGAATCATAGAATTGTAGAGTTGGAAGGGACCACAAGAGCCATCTTGTCTAATCCCCCCTGCAGTGCCCAATATGAGACTCAAACCCACAGCCCTGAGATTAAGAGCCTCCTGCTCTATCGACTGAGCTGTCCCAGCAGTTATGGCTTTCCTCAGAGCATCCTAGGAAGCGTAGTTTGTTAAGGTGGCTGAGAGTTGTTAGGAGACCCCCATTCCCCTCAAAGAGCTGCAATTTCCAGAGTGGTTTAACAAGCAACCCCCCCCTTCCCAGGGAACTCTGGAAGTGGTAGCTCAGGGAGAAGAATGTGGGTCTCCTAACAACTCTCAGCAAACTTAACAGACTACAGAATTCTTTGGATGAAGTCCTGACTGTTTAAAGAGGTAGGATACAAAATGTATAGCGCAGATGAGGACCAGTTTACTAGAACTAGGCCCCATATGTTGACTGGCTCTGGCACTGCACTCTCAGGTGTGAACATGTATGGAGAGCCACACCCTGGGGTTACATGCAGGTCTTTGATTGTTTAGCATGAGTCTTTTTCCTAGGGTGCATTGCTGATGAGTTTCCATGCCAACCCAACAGTAATGGGAGAAGGCCCGGCTAGTTTTCTCTCACAATGCTGGGGTTTGCAAGATAGGGGTTTGCAAGACTCTCACGTGCAGTATTCCAGAATGAAGAAAGATCCATGCGCCACAGCATGAGGAGCAGTCAGAAACCTATGGACTTAGTTACCTACTGTGACAAGCTGGAGCTCTGCCACAGAAAGAACAAAGTTCTGTATTTGGTGATAGCCAAAATGAGAAGTGCCTGTTCCATTTTTGTTCCCTGAGCTTCACTTCTCCTGGTCAATACTCTCATTCATTATACAACAGCAGGATTAGATGGTGCCTGCTGGCTGGCACACTCTGGACATTAATACATGCTGGCATGCATTTGTGCATGTGCCAGGGGTGTTCCATGTGAATGAAAAGGCACCGTTTGCCCTCCTATCGCAGCACATGCTGTTGTTCTGGACAGCCAGAATACACCATTGTGTTTGCAAGCACGTGACTCCATCGGGCTTCCTTTCAACTGCCTCCTGCTTGATGAGAAAAGAACCAAAGCAGAAACACATGGCATCATTCATAGCTGATTTTTTATGGTGATGACACTCCATGCAGTTTCTGATACAGCCCTTAAGTACATATGGAGAGTCTTGCCGGCTCTAGACTTGGATGCCCAGATGAAGTCAGTGATGACTATCAATAAACAAAAAGAAGAAGCTTGTTCTCCAGTAACTGAAATCCCAAAGGATGGAAAATCTTTCAGCACTGGAATTAAGTACCGTATTGGCACAAATATAAGCTGCACCCGAATATAAGCAGCACCTCTAATATTGGAGGGGGGGGAAAGAAAAAATACCTGAATATAAGCCACTCCATTTCTCGCTGCTCCTGGCTTCAAACTGGGGGGCGGGGTCGCACTGCGTTGCCTTTCCTCTTCCTCACTCTCTCTCTTCCCGTCCTTGGGGGAGAGGACAGGGGACCACGTGCGGGGCGGGCGTCGCTTTGCTGCGCTCCTGGCGCTGTTTGCCCTGCACTCCTGGCTGCATACTGTAAGGTCACGAATATAAGCCGCACTTTAAATTTTCATGGTTGGATTTTAGGAAAAATATGAGGCTGATAATAAGGCCAATATGGTATATAATTAAGGTACTGGACTAGAACAGTCATTTTTTAGAAGGTCATACAAGGACCTAATGCAGAGGATGATTATAACAAGCAACTGTAATACAAAGACATTAAATGGCCAAGTGAAACACCCTTGCTAATTTTGATACCTTACAAATAAAAAAGACAGAGGGAAGGCAACACAATTCAGTGAAGCAAAGCTAGTCAGGGATCACCCACACTTCCACTTTCTCCATGTCTGGAAAGCACAAGTCCAAATTGTATGCCAGTTGTCCCATGATTTCTAAGCACCAATCCAAGCGGTTTTCTCTTTGCCCGCTCCCCACCCCCCAAAAAAACTGCTCTTGGGAGCTAAATTGGAACAAACAACAATCCATGGAAAACCTGGTTGCCATTTGTTCTGATTCAGCACTAAACCATGGTTTCCCCTGGGGGGGGGGAGCAGCAGGGCAACCAAAAATGTGAATGAACCCGCAGTCTCTGAACCTGTTTCCACAAAAACTTCACTGGGAGACATGTTATAAATGAACTTCAGCAAACCATACACCTGCTAAGCACATGGGTATGTGATTTGGCTGCAATCCTAAGCACACTTGGAAATAATAATAATAATAATAATAATAATAACTTTATTATTTATATGCTACCCTTCTGACTGGGTTACCCCAGCCACTCTGGGTGGCTTCCAACAAAATATTAAAAACAATAAAACCTCAAACATTAAAAACTTCCCAGGGCTGTCTTCAGGTGTCTTCTAAAAGTCATATTGTCAATAAGACCTCTTAACCTAAGCGAGATTTATTTCTGAGTAGACTTACAGAGGATTGTACTCTAGTCCAAACAAATGTGGTAACAAGCATGACTTCTCTCAGTCCTCCCGGTAATGGTATCAAGCTCTTCAGGTAGCCAACAATCTGCATATAATTGACTGACTGTTCGGCTGGTTTTACCACCTTTCCACACAATGGTGCCCAACAACACATAAGATAAAATATGAAGAAAGAGAAACAATCCTGTATAGAGCAGCATATAGAACATGAGCAAGATGTTTTCTTTTAAAAAGACACATAAAAGAGAGTTACTCATATAAAAAAGAGCCAAAATAAAAGGCTCTCACAAAAAGCAATACTGAAACATCAAAACAAATTTCAAGTTCCAAAGAAAAGCTTTTCACAAAGTTGGAAGCACCAGCATAATTTCTTCCAGGAACCAGAAAACCAGCTAACCAAGAGGGTTGACTGTTCCCATCCTGTATCTTTCTTGAATACTTAATTTTATTGTATCTAGTTTGAGGTTCCAGTGAGAATTTTCAGACATTGTTTTCAGATGGTTTGCGAAACAATCTTGCTTCCACCGTCCATTTATAGAAAACACACACGTTGCTTTCACAATTGGGCTCATGTGAGACACAGATGAAGGCCTATATGACACCAATTTCTTTGTATCTAACGCCAACATGAACTTTGGCCAATAGGTAACAGCAGCAGCCACTATCGATCTGATTCCAGTGTAAATTTGCTGCATTAACAAGTGGCCATTTAGAGAAATGAAAACAACTATCAATAAACAGGAACTCGTTTCAACAGAGAACTGGGTGGAGATGGGTCTGGGGACGTGCCCTTCAGTAATTCCTGACAATGTGAGCCATCTCGGCCCAATCTGGTAAAAGTGAGTCACGCATGCAACTAAAAGAGCCGTTTTCCAGACACTGTGTTCTGCATTGACTGGATGCAAGCGGTGATGATGCAGGATCACATACCCTCCATGTGTCCCGATTTTCCAAGTACAGTCCCAGAATTACGAAAGCCATCCTGGCTTCTGATTTGATCCCGGAATGTCCCTATTTCCCCTGCCATGAGCTCAAGGAAGAGGATGAATCAGCACTTGTCCCAAGCAGCAGTAGCAGCAGTGAGGGAGCATCCCATTGCCTCTCCTTAGCCGCTGCTGCCAGCCTCCTCCCTTGGGCAGCCCATCTCCATCTCCCTCTCTGAGTCAGAAGAGTCATTGCTGCAGTGGGCAACCATTTGTTTAAAAAATTGACTTCTTTTGTTGGATGCCAGAATAAGAGGAACTGGACCAAGACCAACACTAGAAATCCTTTTATTGTAATAAACATTCTGCAAAATGCAACTGAGTTCACAGCCAATAGTTTTTATTGTTGAAGAAATTAAGTTTGTACAGCACAACTATAAAACATTTTGCCTCAGGATTAAAAACTGTAACTTCTTTTAAATAAATGAGGCAGATTATTTAAAAAAATAAATTGAAAAATACAAGAAAACAATAGGTTTATGACTGCTGGGGGAACCCCACAAATATGTGCAGAGATCATGTACCCTCCAGTCACTGACTCTAGAGTAAGTGGGAGTGACGCATATTCTGCCTGAATGAGATATGGTTATTTGACAGCAACACTTCCCTTGAGAGGCATGAAATACTACAAAGTGCTCCGCCCTACTCTCAAGCAAGGGCAGGAAATGTAATGGAAAGCAAGAGCCATGTCATATTTGGGGAAACATTTAGGATAAACTGCAATGCCAAGGTGTTTTTGCTGTGTATTCTGCTCAATGGGTGACCTTATGTCTACCTCACAGCCTAACCTACCCCACAGAGCTGTTAAAATAAAATGGATAAGGGGAGAACCATCTACACCTGCTTGAGCCCCTAGGAGGAAGGGGGGAAATAGCTTTGATAAGAACACAAGAGGCTGCTGGATCCGGCCCAGGGCTCATCTAGCTGTTTTCATAGCAGCCAGCCAGATGCTTATGGCAAACTGGCAAGCAGGACCCAAACATAAGAGCACCCCCCCCCCACTGTGCCTTCCAGCAACTGGTATAAACTGGATGAAAGGCTCTTGTAACCACTTAGACAAAAAAACTGTTATTGCGAATAACAGGCAAACCTATTTTGCTTTGATTTGCTTCACTTAAAATCACTTTCACAGAAGACGCTTGAAAATTATGTTCAACTTTTTTTGAAGAAGCTCGGAAAAAAGAACAGGGGAAGCATGCAGTATTACCCTGCTAGTCCTTCCCTTCCCAGAAAAAAAAGAATAAATAAAAATGCTTACCTGATAAGGGAGAGGTATAACTAGCATTAGCAGCTAGGAAAGCTCACTAATTACACATGACCGTCCAACCTCTGCTTAACAATTCCCAGTGAAAGAGAACCCACCACTTCCTAGGGTCATAACTTTTTTAAAAATAAAAAATCAAGTCATGAAATAGGTTTCTGTTTCAAAACAGTGTGCAGAGCCACAACAGTCACTTCCCACGAAATGGTCTTTTCATAATCCATTGAGCCCTAAAGCTTTATGTTTCAATGACTGGACTTGGATGAAACACTGCAGTGATGAAGTCAAGGGGAATAGCTGGGCTTCGGACTATTTCCTGCTTACCCACCCAAGATAATATTCAGTGCTTTCTGAGTTTGGTGGGTGAGGGTAAATAGAGATGTTGAGCAACTGACTCAGTGTATGGCTTGTGCTGTCACGGATGGTGCTTATTGTTTTGGAGATTTGTCTACCTCTTTTACACCCTTTGGTGTCACAAAGCAAATGAAAAACGAGACACGAAAGAAAGAAAGAAAGAAAGAAAGAAAGAAAGAAAGAAAGAAAGAAAGAATTACAAAACCCCAGAAAGACTATCCTTTCCCTAATTTCTGCCATTTCAGGAGCTCTTTTTATTTATGTTTATTCCTGATCCTTTCTAAACTGCTCCTTCACTTCAGAGCAGAAATCTGCAGCCTGCAATTTGAAAGCAAAACAATGAACATGATCCTTCACTTGGTAGATGTAAAGTAAATATCCCTCCCACCCACACACCATCAGTCAAGGTGACTCCCATCCCTCGCCTGGAGTGGACTAAATATACTACAGTTGCCCTCTTAAGACCATCCCAGTCTAAGATGTGGCTGGAGAATGCTTTAATTGTCCGGATAAACCCTGAAGCTGGAACATGAACAGCAGATGTCAGGGGCAGAAACAGACACACACACACACACACACACACACACACACACACACACACACGGATCTCTCCACAAGAAGAAACAAGCCAAACTGAGGGAGAAACCTCTCTTTGCCATAAATAAAGGGAAGGTAACCAAGAGACAGACTGGCATGTTTTAAGACTGGGGGAGCCAAACCAACCCCAGATTTAATTGTCTATGGAAGAGTGATGGCTGAGGGACTTTCCAGCAGAAACTTGTCTGACATGGTTTGTTTCACTGGCACCCATCTGCTGCTTCTGAGAGCTAGTCTGCATGTGTACATGTGCACTTGTGTGCAAGCCTTGCACAGTGAAACATAAGAGGATTTTAGTCCCAGTTCAGCTGAGATTTAGTGTTGAGCATAATGGGTTAGAGGGGCTTTAGGTAGTCCTTACTAAACAATGAACAGCAGTCCTTTTGTTCGTGTTGCTGCTCCCGTTAGCTAGCTATGCAGAGGACTGGGTGCCAATCACTTAAAAAACAAAAAATAGCGAATGGGCAGAAGAAAGAGCGCTAGTTTCCCCGTGCATAAATCCTGTTTGGTAAGATAATTGACATAATTAAGCTGAGAAGGCACGTCTACCCAAAGCACCCCTCCTCTCCCACATAACGACAAACTTTAACATCCAAATAAGACAGAAATAATCTAAAATGAAAAGAAGGGGCTTCTGAGTGGAACTTAGTTTTCTAATTGAAAATTTATTAAACAAATAGAATTAAATGTAGAAAAGAAAACCACAGTGATAGGCTCAATTTGGAAGAGAAGCGCTAATGCCAGCATTGTGAAAGTCAACCTGGAGTTAGGGAGGGAGCCAAATATTGACGCTGTTGGCCATGTATAGAAAAAAGGACTCAGGAGAGGAGGGACAGCTTGACAATGGGACTGGGATTAAGTGTCCTGCAGTATTTACTGGCTGAGACCATTGCCAAAGACAGAGGCCAAAAGGCTCCAATCCTCAAGTCGCTAATCAGAGACATGTCTGACTGACTCCAGGGGAAGCGCATCAGAATGAGCATTGGAGAATTATAAGATTCAAACTTTCTGGACCTCCCAAAGAGCTACTTGAATTGCACAAGGAGAAATAGATCCTGAAATAATGGACACATCGTTAAAACATGCTCTCCCTTGGGGAAAGTTAATGGCAATGTTCCTTGGGCATCCTGACTCACTCAGATTGGACTCAAATCACAAAAGGCATCAATATTGTAGCAAACTGAGTGATGGGATGACCTTATATATGCCTCCTCATACATGAGGCCTACTGAGCTCAGTGAGGCCTATTCATAGATTAGCATGAGAACTGCAGCCAGAGATTGTGAGCTGTGTAATCTAGATATCCCTCGGGCCAGCATCTCCATCCAACTGCAAAATGGGGATAATATTACTGACTTATTGTTATGAAAAATATTACTGAGATATGTAAGTAAGTGATTAGGGCACTGTAGAGATGCTAAGTAAAAACGATAATGGAATAATATAAATAACATAATATCCCAACTAAGTTACATGGATGGATAGTACACTGTAACCCATAGACTTGTAATGTTTGGGACTGTTTGCACACAGTCATGTTGATTTGTATACTTATTGCTGAATTTCACCAGCATTTACAACAGCATTGCCTTACTTTGACTTCAGCACCTTTGGCCTTCAGAATTACGTGTGAGCGGCCATCCATCTCGGAGCTGGCGCCGAATAGAAAAGGAGAAATAAACAAATAAAGACTTTGAGAAACAGAGATGGTGTCAGCACAGGGAGCCTAACCTGGTTACTTCTCAGGTTATTACCTCTGGGAAGGAAAGGGTTTAATTGAATATTTCTTCCAAATAGTTCATCCATCTTCATTCTCCTAGCTTGCTTATCAATAGCTGCCAAGCAGCGCATGTACCAAGGACAAGCAAACAGAATTATGTTATTGTAATTTTCAAAACACCATCAACAACTGCCTCATGAGCGTTGGAAAGGAAATTGAGTTATCTAGGCACATATTACCTTATTAAAAGTTTAAGGAAAGTGAGCTGTATGCTAGCGATTGACCTAACCTTGTGTTGGTAATGGTGGTTCCACTCCATAAGTAAAACTTCTCTCCAGCCATGCTGGCAGGAAAGAAAAAGACCTTATAGCAGATGTGGGGGACCTGTAGCCATCAAGATGTTGCTGGACTACAACTCCCATCCCTGAACAATGGTTATGCTGGCTGGGGCCGGTGGAAATTGGAGTCCAATATCTGAAGCGTACCAGATCTCCTTACAGCCAGTGATGACTAGTGCCAAATGGGACTAAAGGAGCAGAGAGCAGGGAGGCCAATGGTGGTTGGGACCAGAAGTAATAACAGATAGAGACAACTAATTCGAGTTTTGTCCAAATCCTCCTTCCAGCTGAGTTCTACAATGTCAACACAGAGACTTTGGAGGGGAAACCTGACAGCCGCAGCCCCTTAAGTTATATAAGTAAGAAAGTAGGGGGGATAGCTAAAGAAATATTGAAGTTGGTGGGGCAGTGCCCCATTTGCCCTAATGGGTCAGCCACCACTGCTTGCAGCACCTTCTTCCATATATACCTTTGCATGCTTGAAGATCAGTCACTGTTGGTGGTCCCAACTTCTATTGGGCTGCTGACCACTGCAGAATAGGCTTTTGGGTGGTAGTCCCTAAATTCTGGTACCAGCTCACCACCACAGTAGGACACATCGTAGACAGACAGTTGACTGTAGGTAGGCTTTCAATTGGCCCTCTGTTAATTTATTATCATTTTGCTGCTCTATTATTTCAGGTTGCATCTGTAATTCTGCATCTCACTTTCAGAATTCCACCTGAAAAGCAGGCTATAAATCGACTGTACGTGCATAACATTAATGCAGAGGCCAAAAGTCTATGTTCTGGCCTTGGTTTGGAAATCGTGACACTTGGGCGGATTATTCTGATGCAGGTACAAGTGCCCGAGGCAAAGACAAAACAAAGGAGAGCTGCAATAATCCAAGCTCTTTCGTTTGCCTTCTGTGATGCTGCAGGCAGGCATGTTGAACAACACAGAGCTTTATTCAGGCTTCATCAGAGGAGACCGGTGTTGCATGCTGAGGCTTTGGCTTTTTGTCTCCCAGCCAAACAGTTTAATATTCCAGGAGATTTCCTTATTACCTGGAGTGGGGATAAAAGTAATTTCGGGACTGCCTATTCTACCACGTGGCATGACAGTGCCTCCAGGACAACTGATAATAGTTGCGTACAAGAGCAATTAAAACTCAGTATCAAAAATTAAAAGTTGAAATTTCTAAAAATCTTTAAAGCAGCTTCAGACATAGCATAAAATAGCAAAGAAATAGCCTAAAATTATGGAAGCAACAGCAGGGATCATTCAGTGTACAACTTAAGAGTTAATTTTGTCATCAGTAAATCAGCTAGCCAAAGTGGAGGGGGGGAGGTATTGCTTAGCAACCTGGTAGAATGGCAGTGATCTTTACTGAGGTAGTACATGCTCCGATTGGCTGTGTAGTTCTGAGGGAGTTTTCCTTTGTATGTTTGGTTGTATGTCTCCCTGTGTACAAGGCATTAACTAAGAAATACATCTCTCTATTCCTTTCTCCTCAAATTATACATTGTTTTTGTTCAGTTTGCTCCAGACCTTACTCTCAGGACTGCATCTGTGTTAAGCGACTTTGGTAATAAAAATGACCTTCAACCTTCCCATTCCTGCTTGGCCAAGCATTTGCCAAGATAAATTATTTCTCCTTGAAAAATAAAAGCAGAGGTGGCCTGTCAAGCTTTTGGTGGGAAGGAAGTTCCATGCTGAGGATGCCATTGCTGATAAGGCCCTGCTCATAATGAGCAGTAGCACAGTATGCTGGTTGGTGTAGGCCCTCTGTAAGATTAACTTTGTGATATGAGCTACAGAATCTCATCATCTGATTGACTGCCAAAGCTTGGCTGCCCTTGGCTTCTGCAAAATGCTTCTGTACAGGGAGGGGGGTGGAATTCTCAAGAGCTGCTCTTTGTGTGGCCATAAAGGGATGGCATTCCATGTAGTTGCTTCCTTATTGGAGCCAGTTCTGTAAAGATGTAGCATATAATCCCGCATCGCACGTCTTGCTCTTGGTGGATATACGCAATGGATTCATTAAGTCTAATGTTCCATAACAAAGTAGATGCTCATTACAGTGTTTACTGTTCTGGGATATTGTTCCCCCTTTGCAGCTGCACCTGAATGAAACCAGGCTCCTAAAGTGTCTCTTTAAACTGCTCTTGTACTGGGATTAACTCCCAGAGAGCAGTTACACATCTTAAATCCCCTGCTGTCATAAACCCTCTTCACACTTTCCCACCCTGCATTGTCCTGTAAGCCCATCATGTGCTTAAGAATAAATCCCTTGGCACAGAGAACTCACTTTCCCCCACTCTTTGAGTACACTTCCCAATAGATCCCATCGGCACTTTAACATTACAGAGTTGCTTGCAACTCGACATCCTGAGGTCCTAGTGTTTAATTTCTGAAAGGAGAGGTGCCCAAGCTCACGTTCCTGTGAAACTGATGTCGTTTCTTGCCCTTCAGGGAGAGCCAACGTGTTCCCTCCAGATGTTGTTGGACACAAAGCTCCCATCAGCCTCTGCCAGGGTGGCCAAGGATCAGGGATGAGGGCACCACATTGGGAACTCCTGCATTGGACCGGAAGTCCTTCTAGTCGCAGGCATTTGCAGACCGGCTCTGATTTATCCAGCTGTGTGAAAAGGGAACTCTGCCGTTGCTCAGAGACAGCTTTCATCATTGATAATATTCTGTATGAAGCAGTTCCCAGTGCTGAATCCTGGTGATCCAGGGCTCAAATTCAGCACTATACCAGATGTGGGGAACCTTTGGCCCCTTCAGATGTTTATGAACTCCCATCATCCCTTGCCATTGGCTATCCTCGCTGGGGCTGATGGGTGTTTTAATTCAGCAACATCTGGAGCATCAAAACTTCCCCACACTTCTCTCTACACCTTTTCGCTGACAAAGAGCACAGATTACATGGTCTTCAGAGCGCATGCTATGGTCTAAGAGAAAATTGTATGAAAATGATATATTGATGGTATCTAACACCAAGTAAATTGGCAAAAATGTATAAATCTAAATCAAATAAGTGTTGGAAATGTAAAGAGAAAGAAGATTCTTTTTTATCATATGTGGTGGTTTCGTAGTAAGGTTAAAGCTTAGTGGGAAATGATATATAATGAATTGAAAAGGGTCTTTAAAATAACGTTTTTTTAAAAAAAAAACCAGAAGCTTTTCTTTTGGGAATTTTTCTTTATAGGGACAAAACTACCTAAACCATATAGAAACTTATTCATGTATGCTACTACAGCGGCAAGAATGTTACTTGCCCCAAACCTGAAAGAAGCAGAAGTCCCAGCAAAGGAAGAATGGAGACAAAAACTTATAGAATATGCAGAAACGGCAAAACTTACCAGAAGAATAAGAAATCAAGATAACAATTTTTTTATATAAAAGAATGGAAATAGTTTGTTGAATATTTACAGATAAATTGTAAACAGACGAGAACATTGGTAGGATTATTGTAATAACCTGCAGTTTCATAAGAGCATATACTTAAAGTAGAAGAATAAATGGGCAAATTAAATTAATTTGGATATGCAGAAGATATTAAAAATAAATTTAAGGAACCTCAGAAAGAGGGGGAAGGAAGTCAAGGAAGTCAAGTTTTGAAATGATGGCAAAACTAGTGAATAGCATAAATAAAATTAAAAACAAAACAAAACACTCTCATCAGAGAAGCTTCCAAGTCAGATGAGTAAGCAGCTGTGAGGCTGCTTTAAATTAGTCTACATCCAAAATGGAGTCCATATCTGAGAGAGACGTTCCTTTCCAAGGGACACTTGTTAACACTATTAAGGAACCAATAATTTGATTACACACTCTGATGTTTACTGGGAGGTATTAAATGAGGTGGGGGGGATATGTCTGCAATCATTGGTGCTTTGTTCTCTGAACTTGTGCTTTATCCTAGCCCTCAATCTTTTTTGAATGCATTTATCCAATTACAGCAAGTCATTTGCATGCTGTGTAACTTATAACCTGGATTTAACACACACACACCAACTGCAGACTCCAGGCTGTTACGAGCATGAATTGAGGATCATTAAATCTCACCACTGCTGTATCTAATGCCCTGAGAGAAACCAAAATTGACAGATTCACCCATCCCTAGCTTGCGAGTAATGTTTAGGCATAGATCACTAACACAAGAATCTCAGTGGAGGGAAGGTCCAATTTATGGAAGGCCGAGACTTGCTATTATTATTACAGTTACATTGCCCATTGACATCTGATGGTGCAATACAATTGTTACCTTCCTTGCAATTCCTTCCTTCCCTAGTAAACACTGCAATAAGAATACAGCCCTTGTTAAGCTGAGATAACCTGAGAATGAACAGGAGAGGCCAAAAAACACCTCCTTGAACAATCAGAACCAAAGTCAACAGAGCTAAACTCAGGAAATACATATTTTTCTTTGTTTCTCTTGGGGTGGGTTTCCCTCCTTTTAATTCACACACCACCACCCTGGGACATATTTCTCTAAATTCAACCATGCTAGTGGCGGCAACGAGGAGCTCAAGTGATGCCCTTATTTTGCAGAGGAAGATAAAAACCAATGAAGCACGGGTGCAAACATACCAGCCTAGGTAAATTTGCACCACCACTTCAAAATTCTCCAGTTGAGATAAGGGGCTGTCTCACACAAGTTCCCAGCAATCTGAGGCAATTCCAGCAGACTGCTTTTTTTTTTTTTTAATCAAAGGTCACTGAGGAAATTGGAGAGGGGGAAAATACCACTACAAGTACAAACAGAAAGATCCAAAAGGTTTACTTGTCTTGTTAATGTTCTGCTTGCAGGACAGCAAAATGGCGGCTGTTCCACAGAAGTCCTGGGAAATGTGCTATCTTCGAAACAGGATGGCAATGCACATCTTCATAAGGTCACTGTTATGGATTGCTTCATTGAAGCATGGGCAGCGAGTGCATGGGAAAGAGCTGGATATAAGTTTCAGAAGGGGTATGTGCAGTGACAGGGTGTCCTGTTTCGCCACCTGAGGCAAAACAGGAATTGCCATCTCCTGCCCTGCTTCCGCCACACACACACCCCATTCTGCCGCTGCTACACCTTAGCTTTCACCAAACCCAGCTGGAGCCAGGGCACTCTGCAAAATGTTGCTGCTCGGCTTCCCCACCCCAGGGGAGGAGCTGATCAGCAACGTGGTGCACAGGAACACCCTGGCTCTTGCTGAATCGGTGGGAGTGGGTGCACTCCTCAAAGCATTGCCACTCACTTGTCTTATTTCCCCTGGGAAGATGAGCGGCAACACTGCACATCAGAACGCCATGCACCGGAACACCTCCCTCTTGGCAACTGAAGCTGTAGTGGGACGGCAGAGCACTGCCTCTTGCATTTCCGCCACCTGTGGTTGGTGATTCACCTCACCTCATGGGTGGGCAGGCTCTGGAACAAGCTCATTCATGGTATACGTTTTTGGCTAAAACAATGAAGCGGCCTTGCAACCCCTTAAAGATAAGTGCATTTATGGTTGTACAAGTGTTTGAATCTTCACCAGGGCTCTTCTTCATGCACTCTAGTCAATAAAAGTTTGTGCCATGCAAATCTTTGCTGGTTTTGCTCTAACAGGGTAAGGCAACTAGACGGCAAAGGGTTGAACCAAGTACATTGAATCAAGATGTCCAGCCAAATGCCAGGTTGTGGATCTCTCGGATAGAGCTGCTTGCACCCAACATCTCCCGTGTCCTATAAAGTTCTTGTCTACTGGAGTTCCAATGTTTACTGATCACTTAGAAATAAGTTCCATGGAAACAGAAAGACCAAGGATTGAGAAGACAGCATTCTTTTTATAATCCACAAGGAAGGAAATCTACAGAAGTCACTGGCAGTGACAGCTAGTAGTTCACCCAGAGTCTATACGAATGATCTCCAGCCTTGGCACTTGGGGTTAACCTAGGTTATTTAAA